TTGGTTCGGCGGGATCTAAATAGCAGGCTATTCTACCTAATACCAACTAGGGAAACCGCGGTAAAGAAGATAGAAAAAGGAGCAGGTTGAATATCCCAAAAGAAAAACTCCCTTGGAGCACTCAGCACGTACGCCGGGCTGTAGGATCCCGTAAGCGACTTTTAGGAAGAACGGGGTGCGCTATCCGTTACTACATTTCATAACTCTTCGTAACGCCGGTAACCCAACGCCCGATAATCACCGGCAGATCCTCAAAGCCACACCTGCCTTTGGTAGCATTCCTGTGATCGCCTGCGTTCTAGCTGGAGAGCCCTATCCCGCCTCATCGTGTAACTGTAGAAACTCGAATAATGGAACCGCGTGTCATGTTGTCGGAGTTGCGTCCCCTGGTAAGGTCTGGTACCCTTTTGATTCCTTGACTTTCCACGGGGGTGAGCAGTTCATTTTTTACTACGTTTTCCACCCTTTCCAAAGTAGGGATTTCGCGACTACATGGTTCTGTCCAAGTTTCTACAGTATCCTCCGAACCCCCGGGGCGGGGCGGACTGTGAAATTGTGATCCTGTCAGGCACGGCTTTTATGGTTGTCTTCGGGGGGCATTCATCCTCGGATTATCAAAGTTCTTTTGGAAGCATGAAGTACTGTACCTCGGTTCATTATTACTATTACTTGATAAAGTACGAGAGTCTAAAACGCCGTAACTAACGCTGCTTATCTATAATTGTGGAAGACGCTATAGGTGGGTAGAATGTGAATGATGTAGTGGTAGAGGATTTTGCTCTACGCCAAACTGAACAAGCTAAGTCACGAACAAAGCATCCCGCGCCTCCATAAGAGTGATTTTTCTCATTACACCATCAGAGATAGAAATAGGGATCGCAAACCCGTAGTGGAAGCTAGAGGGGAGGGGCCAAGAAGGCGTTTTAATATGTTTGATGAGATTTGAGCCTATTTGTCCTCGATTGAGTGGGAAAAGAGCCTCTCAATTACCCCTAAAGCAAACAAACAGAATATCGTAAGCCCTCTCGCTTAACCCCTTATCCCTGTGAATATTTCCATTCTCATCTCTTGGCTCCTCTCCCTATATTTCATATCGATTCTATCCATCTTTCATCGTTCCCTTGTGTCTCCCACCGTGAATCCACTGCATCGATCGTTGACTCTTCGGTCATTCCCTCGAGATTTTCAATGGCTACCACGACCCAATAGCCACGGTCGGAGACAACCTTGGGAAGAGAGCCGGAAAGCAACCCCCAACCACACCTCCTTGATAAAGAAGCCTATGGCTATTTCCTCCCTCCTCTTGGAGTAGTAATTTAAGGTTTACGTGCCCACGGCCCTGTATGGACTCGAGATAAAAGCTTGCGGCGGACGGAGGTGTTCTATCACTAGGAAAGATTTACTCGGTCGGCGGAATATCCCCTCAACGAGCAGAATACGTCCTTGGTCAATCAGAAACCTTTCCCGATAGGAAGGAATATTCGTAATATTCCTGCCATTATAGATGTTATTTCTTTTACTTTGTGAGGCAGAGTTTCAATATAACTGCAGTGACACAATCCCCGAAAACCGGTAGCTACCCTGCGCTTTGGCCCCACTCGCGATATCAAGCGACCTGGTTGTTGGAGATATGACGTTAATGTCACGAAGGTATGCTCAATGTGGGGTATAATAACTCATGTCACTACACACAGGTACTCGCTCCGGGGTGTAAGTACTTTTGATTTGGCATGATGGAAACGATTGTAATTTGATCGACTACAGAGACAAGATAAGAGAGTGACAATATGAAGAAGAAGGGACTGATGCAATTCGCGTAAAGCGATAAGGAAAAACATTGTGCTTTTATCCTATGAAAATAATGAGACAAGAAATGCAACAAGGAAAGGCTTTCCTCCACATGATACGGGCTACCGGTAGTCAGTAACAGAGAGTGTTTCAGGTATTGTTGGTGAGAGGGAACAAAAACAAGAACTAATGCAGGATATAAAGTTAAAACGACAGGTGAATCAATAGCTGTATCGACAGGTTTCAACAACTACCACGACCCGAAGCAGACCGGTCAGAATAGAATGGAATCAAATTTCCTGTCTTCCCTCTACTACTACCTATAGCTTTTATATCTCACAAGCCCTCATCACTCAATCCCCTAACTATAGTTCCGATACGAATATTTCATAGAAATCGAGTGATCCGTTGTGATGGCCAGGTGCCAGTTCCGGAGTTCACTGAACGCCCATCACAATCCTTCCAGTCGCGTAGTAAGGCAATGGGTGATTCCTCATTCGGCATGAGACAACACGGGACTTAATCAGGGGAGGACCAGCAATACTCTCCGACCACTTCCGGTCCTTGTGTTCCATTTTGGATTTTGGCAAGAGCAAATTCGGTGATCTGGCACCAGTGTACCATGCGGGCTTGGGACGGTCTCTGCAACGGGGGGTGCGGGTCCTTCAATGAAAACGATAATTCCGGAGAAGGGAAGGAATCGCAATAATGGCATTTATATACCCTGTTCTTGGATAAAACTTAACTCCGCAGTTCGGCTGTGAAGAGGGGTGCAGGAAGTGAAGTAGGAAAGGGAAATTGAGAAAGAAAAGTTATGCTTGGTGTTCATCCTGTCTGCTGTTTTCCCTTCTCCTGCCCTCCCCTATCATACCTGCAACAGCCCTTACAGGATAAAAGGCTATGATCACAAGTATTCGTACCCGTAGAATGTGAAGGAATTGATAGGCAGTGCACAAAACAGCACCACTGCGAGCACCCCCGCCAATGCCCACAATTTTCTCCACATGTCTGACAGTTCGGTAACGGAAACTGAAAGGGAGGAACGAAGTCGGGTATTCTAAAACACATTTTTTCCGTGCGTCACCCTGTTTGCCACCATTTGGAGAAGAGCTCGCACCACAGGTTACCTATGCTTGATCATTCTTAACGGTTTCCCAATATCCACAATGGCTCCTGGCAGATCACTACAGGGATCCTCACTGTGGCCCCCCTGCGGAGTGCGGTCTAGTTTTACCGATCGAGGCTTCCTCATCGCTAACATTTTCTGTCTTCCGAGATGGTAAGGTGGAATGAACGGAGTGCAGGATCGGTATCTCGCGGTCGGGCTATCTTGGTGTTCTTCCTGAGTGGCCACGGAAGCGCAAGGCGTTTTACGAACACTGGTTTTATATATTATGGTTGCAAATGCCGCTCTTAAGCGAGGTTATGGGAGGAGAAATCCGTGACTTGAACTTCTTAATGGAATAAGTGCCTATAGGAAGGAGGTAGAAGATAGTTGGCTGTCGGGTGGGCCGACCTGTCCGCACAAACCATCGAATTATTACCCTTCTTTGAGGAATATGCAGTGCTTGTATTGACTGGCACCGTACTCTCATAAGAAATTACAAGGCCTAAAAGGTTGTAATGGATGCCACATGACAAGTGTTGCGGAAATTCTCGACATCAGCGGTAACGGAGTAAAATCTAGGAGAGTATGTGTGGAACAGGAAAAAAAAGAGGCAAGAGAAGCAGGGTAAGAAAAAACCCTAGTCAGGCCCTTCCGAAAGAGCAGGGAGAAAAAGAAAAGGTGGGAGTCAGAAGGTCCAATCCCGGCTCAGTCTCTATAAAGGCTCGAGATGGAAACCACAAAGAACATTATTGTACCCTAAATTGATAGACCTAACGAAAAAAGGAGAAGACCCACAAAGGACAGAAACAATGAGTGAACAGGGAACCGCGGGTGACATGAAAGGTTTTTGGTCTCTAAGGAGATATTCCACGTTATAAACAAGCAGCTTGCGGCACCTGAGGGCGTTGCTAGGGCGCAACGTGTAGGCCCTATAGAGTTTGTGAATAAGCAAAGCCAAACTATACAAGCCCAATCTGAAATAGAACACTGGCATGCCCCGCAACCATACGAGCAGTGTTTTCTAATTGCGCCATAGGGGTGTGGTAGGGCCGACCAAGCGGCTACAATGACTATGAGGAGGGAATAGAGGAATTAAGAAGGGTTTTTCCATTTTAACGCGATATCGTCGAGGGTTCGTCTACAAAAAGGTGGGAGAAAGCGCTGTCGTAGTGGCTGTGGTGAAGTCCCGAGGAACCCAGTTGTCATTGCGGCTGGCGGAAGCGGATGTGGTAGGGGTAGAGTCGGGGGGCTAGATCTAGGATCGTGGGTGGGTATATCAGGACTTTTGCAGGGACAATCTCTCGGAGGAGTGGTGATCGAGGAACATTGCACGCTATGTGGGGGGGTGCCTGTGCTTGTATCCTGTAGTGGCAGAGGGGGTTGCATGAGAAATTTTGCCTCCTGGTTATATTGATCAGAGCGAGGATTAGGGGCTCCGGGATCGTAAGGTTGAGTAGCAGGCATTGTATCCAGGCATTCCCGAAGAAATTGGACAACCCCCCCATCGCCAATCAAAGCTCGTGATCGAGGGTTGGCCTCGCTACGCTGCAGGAGAAGCTTCCCTATATCCTTGGATTGACGTTGGAGAGCGTAAAAGAGTGGTGTTCTACCCTCATTGTCTTGCAATTCGGCGTCGACGTCTTGCTGTTGAAGAAACAGTTTCACAACTTCTGCGTTTCTCGATTCGGCAGCGTAGGAGAGGGGTGTTCTACCCGTATTATCCTGCAATCCGGCGTTGACCTCTTGCCGTTCGAGAAACAACTTCACGACTTCCACACTTCCTGACCGAGCAGCGTAGGAGAGGGGTGCTCAACCGGTGTTATCCTGCAATTCGGCGTTGACCTCTTTCCGTTCTAGAAACAGCTTCACGACATCTGTCCTTGCCCATTTGGCAGCGTAGGAGAGGGGTGTTCCACCCGTATTATCCTGCAATTCGGCATTGACCTCTTTCCGTTCCAGAAACAGCTTCACGATTTCCACACGTCCCCATTGGGCAGCGTAGGAGACGGGTGTTCTACCCGGTATTATCCTGCAATTCGGCGTT